TAATAATGAAGGACTCATCAAACGTGCCTATGAGATTTATCGTAGTAGAGATCCGGCTCATGATACAGATGGTTATGAATCTAAAGACTTTAGGGATGCATTCACTCATGATCTTAACAGACCCATTAGGTTTCTTGGACTTTGGGATACCGTAGGCGCTCACGGCATACCCACGTACACTATTGGAAAAGGATTTGAATATTTGAAATTCTATGATCAAAATGTATCTAATGTAGTTCATAATGCATGTCAAGTTTTAAGTATCCATGAAAGGTTAATTCTTCTTGAACCTTGTCGGATCTATAAGAATAGTGATGCTTCTTTAGTGAAGATCGAAGAGACTTGGTTCCCAGGAAAACATTTGGAGGTAGGAGGAGGAATACTTTCAAACAATGAAAAAATATCTAGTCAAAGTCTATTGTGGATGATAGGAAAAGTTCAACGCGCCGGTGATTTATTAGAAATAAAGGAGGAATATAATGATGATGACATACAATTCGATAATAAATTTACAAGGATGCTACTTTCTTTTTGGAGATTGATTTTTTTGAAATGGTTCAATTATATCATAGTCTTTCTTTTTACTAAAACCATCCTGTTTAGGGATAGAGTAATTCCATTATACACAGATGAAACAAATAGAAATATATTAAAACGTGATCTGATTTATAAAAATGGTCACTGGGGAGATAGTTTTGGTGATCTAAAAAGTCAATATTCCTCAAGGGCATATTTAGAATTGAACGAAACGATGAGAGATGCAGGAATAGATTTTCCTCCAGAATAACGCTTCGTATTACTGCATCCGTGACAAGCATATTTTTATGTTTCTAAACTTTTTTGGGAAGGTTCAAATAAATATGTATTTTGAAATTCTATTTTTACCTTTTAATGTTAGAATTTTATGTATTATGTTTGAATAATTATTTTATTTTTTTTATTTGGATAAAAAAATATTACGAAATTGAATAATGCTACCATTATAATAAAGAAATAACAAATGATATCAATAATTTTTATGAAATCTTTAAGCTCACATCAGTTAATTAATCTAAAATCTTTCATTATTCCCTAATGTTATTATCCTTAATTTTATTGTAATTTTGATTCCTAAATCATTCTCATTCTTTGAAACATTTGATGCAATACTTAGAATTCTTAAATTGGTTTATTAATTTTATAAATTGAACCTGGCGTTTTTAACAACTTTACTTTCAAATTATCGAATTAAAATATAACTTAAATTAAATTTAATACTCAATCTTATTACTTGGTGAATTACCTCAGATATTATCACTTTTGAAATGTTGTGCGATTGACAATTCTTTCCATAGATAAACGGTATCAGCAGATTTAGTCTTAAATGAGTGTCGTTCATCAAAATGTGGTGGTGAAAAAATTCAAATAATCTGGAAGTGTGATTTTTCGGAGAATTCGTCGTTCACATCAAATTCTAGCAAAATAGCAAAACCTATGACGTTTTGCGGTAAAATACTGGTTTTCAAATAATTTGGTTTTGATAGATCACTTATGCGTAAATATAATAATAATATTCAGGTTTATAATATATGGATAAGAATTAAGCATTCTTGATATTTCCTAATCTCTCTTTAATACTATATTTGATTCATTAAAACCTCCAGCTAAAACGTAGAACAATATCGAACACCTAAATAGCTGTCTAAATTTTCTGTCTTAGTATTTTAAAATATAATTTTTTTTTAGATAACCTAAATAATGGCACATATATGGTATAACATCTAAATTTATAAAAATGATATCAAGTTAGCGGTATAAAAAAATCGTGTATTTCTATTTACTTTTAATCGTTTAATAATAAGTTCCCGATTAAATTAATACTCTAGTTCCGAAGGGAATTACAACAACATGACTTCAAAAAAAAAAGTGAAAACTTCTTTATAAGGCTTTATAAGTACTTTAGAATTTCCTAACTAATATCTTTGCTTTCTTTCAATGTCTTGATGATAAGTTGTTTGTAAGAAAACCCTGATAAAGGTTACGTAGAAAGAAAAGATTTCTTATGATTAGCTTTTTAATTAATTAAAACTAATACTCCCATTAAAACAAAATTATTTATTTCATAAATGCAGAAGAAAGAATTTCTAATTAATTCTGTTGGATTGACTTTTATTTCGTATTACAATATTATTACATAATTATGAAGCATACATTTGAGAAAAACGCGGATCGGAAAAATACCATATTATAATTATTGAACTTTTTTCACGCATAACCCGTATGGTCGAATATTCTTTTCATCTGGTGTAAGCCAATAATCAACATTATCAAATTTGATCAATCCTGCAGGGTTAACTCTATTCTGAAAAACAAATTTATATTCAGCACCAGCATGAACAAATTGAGCCGCATATTCTTCAGCCACCTCAATTTTAGGAGATGAATAAATTCCTTTCCCGTATGCAAACCTTAATCCTTTACTAAGCAGGTAACCATTAATGGCAATAGAATCAACAACATCCTTTTTAGTACCATGATAAGAAACTGACCATTCTTCAGAACTATCACCAACGCAACCTAACCATTTGTTATCTGAACCATACTTTCCTAAAACATTAAGTGCTATTCTTTTCCATCCATAAGGCTTGTTGTACGTTAGTTTCCCACGAATGTAAATTTTACCTTCATTTTTTATATTCGTATAATCACGATCATATTTACGGTCTAGTAAATTTTCCTTGATAACATAAAAACCAAGGCCTCCCAATAATCGAAATAAAATACATATATTATCACCTTGTTTGACACCATAAGAGGTTAAAGGTTTATCATCTTCCAATGGTTTACAAGCCAATTCAAGACGCATCTGCGTGATTTTATATCCAAGCTTTTCTTGGATGACACGTTTCAATTCAAGGACAGTACTTTGTGAGGACACGAACATTGCCCGACTTTCTCCAGAAAGGGTTTTAACAAAGATTTGAATGGACCCCTTACTAGGATCATTGAGGGCGGATTTGGAGGCGTTTTTTTCGGTTTCAACGTGTCTAAACAACATCAAGACATGAATGGTATTTACATCTAAAATTTGTGCGTGTACAATCGGATATTTATTTGCTACGCATTCATCATATGTTTTTACGGACGTAGAGGAGGACATTGCTGAGGCGACAAGTGCTAATTGAGACATTTATATTTTATTTTGTACAATATCTTGTTGTTTAATCGAATTAGCGACAATAACAACTTTAAAATTATCGTTTTTTTAAAAAAAATAAAAAAAAATAAAAAATAAAAAATAAATACTTTTATCAGTTAAATAACATAATAAAAATGAGATATTATTTCCCACATCATGTAATTATTACGCATATATTACGGGTTAAGAACTTGTTCTTTATTTTTAATACTGCGTCAATATTTCATAGAAAGACTTTCATGGATTGGCTGATCAGGTTACACGAATTTTATAGTTGGTATTGTAAATATTTATATATGTCATGTGATATTGCTATTTTATTTTCTTTATTTGCTTTGAAAAATTAAACTGCGCACATTTCAAAGATTACAACTTCTAATTGATTAATATTATACAATAATTATTTAGTAGTTATGGTCACTAAAAATATGAATTAATATAAAATTTTTATTGTAATTAAATTTTTCTGCAATGCCTGTTATAATGCAAATGCTTCATCATTGTCATCCCAGGGAATGTCATTTCTGACTCATCGATTTGTACTTCTTGTTTATCGAAACGTTGTAAATGTTTCAATAAGGATAAGACATGTTCTTCGATACCATTTTGTAAGAAAAATAGGCAAAGTAAGCATTCTGATCCATTATTACTGTAGCAAATCTATCGGATCGGACCTTTTTTCACCGGAAAAAAAAATATTTTAAACGAATAAATTGATTTAATTTTTTCGAATTCAATAACTCTCAGTGTAATGAACAACATGAACCAAGAAATAAAAAATATTCGAGAATGGTTGAGTAAATTGTTCAGCAATTTTAAAATTTAGACAATTAGTCGCATTGAAATTTTGTATCATTATAATCGAAAGAAGTACAATGCGTCCTATGTGTGGAAAAGTTTTTTCTAAACGAGATACAAATCCTAATTCTAATTATTTTTTTCTAATGGATATGCAGAATCAACACTAATAAAACAATTCCAATAATTATTTTGCCACGGTGGGATGTCAATAGATCTTGTATAATTTGTAGAAATTAATATGCAGAAATATTTAGACTTTGTGGAATTCATGAAAACAATATAATACATCGAGGTCTTCTTAGTGGAAATATACTAATACTAATAGAATTAAATGAAAATAAGTTCACTTATGTGGAGTGAAATATTAAGTGGTTTATCATTCCTTATATTGCACTGGAATGTAAAGTTTTCAAAAGAATCTGATATTTATAGTTTGGGAGAATCAACATCAGTTATATACCTTTTGCCGATGTTGAGTATGATCATAATCTAATTTATAAAATTATTGATGGAAATCGATCTGAATTTACTCAAATGTTATACTAATTTAATGAAAAGATCCCGATCCTTCAAAAAAGGCCCTTTATTAAGCAGATGCTGAACAATTTGTACAGTCTGAAACAAAATATAGGAATTGTTTCAATCAACTAAATTTTGTTCTAGATTATTAAAAAGCCTCATCCAAAAGCAATTCATACGAGTAGGAAATTTTTATAGGAAAGACCTTCGAGATACTTGAGA